TAGATGGACTAATCCAACAGGCAGTTCTTATGTTGCCATGGCTCATCTTTTTTGTACATAAGCTTTTTTTATTTCCTTTGAGAAACATTCCTTAAAATTGCTGTCATCTTGATAGGGAGGGAGTTGCTGCTCATCACAAGTATCTCACAGTATAATCCTGAATAGACTTTTATACCTTTCTAAGTCCACTTAAATCAGTGATCTTTGAAAAGTGTATCTTTACATAGGATGGCAGTGTTAGCCATGGTTTTGGGAGGTAGTTTTGGATTTCTCACAAATGTACTGAAAAACATTTCACAACTCAGAGTATGCTGAAAGACATTTCACAAATCCTACAAAGCAGAGAATTATCTAATGTTAGATGTTGCCAGACTTTCTTGAAAGACTTGGTGAGGCTAATGGGCTTATGAACTGCTTTATATCTTGAGTACATGGTTTGCCCAAAGTATTTCAGAACATCTGCGATTCTAAATCCTTGTTATGCTAAGCTTTTACTGTTCAAGGGGTCCGTGTCAACTCAGGCAAATATGCCAACACTGGAGTTGCCTCATAGTTTGGAAAAACAAAAATGCCTTGGCTCTTCTTTCTCTTGTTGATTCAGATACCTTTGGGAAACGGCTTTATTTATGTCTCTTTTTTTCTCCAGTGCCCTGTAATTTAGGAAGTTCTTACCTTTCAGTAGGACTCAATGGGCAGTTCTCACAGTGGAGGGAAATAAGCTTTGGGGTCCCACAAGATTTGGACTTGGGGCTGGTACTATTTAATTTATTCATAAATGATCTGGAACTAGTGGTGAGTAGTGCAGTGGCCAAGTTTGCAGAAAACACAAAATTATTCAGGATGGTGAAAACCAAGAGGACCCCCAAAAACTGGGTGAGTGGGTGACAATGTGGTAAATGAAGTTCAGTGTTGGTAAGTGTAAAGTGATGCACATTGGGACAAAAAATCCCAACTTCAAGAATAGGCTAATGGGATTGGAACTTGCTGAGACTGAGAGGGGAAAAGATCTTGGGGTCATAGTAGATAGTTTATTGAAAGTGTCAACCCCATGTGCTGCAGCAGTGAAAAAGGTAAACTCTACTTTAAGGATTATTAGGAAAGGGATTAAGAATAAACCGGCCATTATTGTAATGCCCTTTTATAGATCTATGGTGCAGCCTCATTTTGAATATTGCGTATAGTTTTGGTCACCGTATTTCCAAAAGGACATTGCAGAGCTGGAAAAAGTACAGATGAGGGTGACCAAGATGATTAGGAGGTTGGAGCACACTCCCTATGGGGAAAGGCTGAAGAGTCTGGGATTTTTCAGTTTAGAAGAGAAACGACTAAGGGGGAGACATGATAGAGGTTTATAAAATTATGCAGTCGAGGGCATCCAGTGAAAGTGATGGGCAGTAGGTTCAGGACAGCCAAAAGGAAATACTATTTTATACAGAGAGTGATTAAAATGTGGAATTCGCTGCCAGCTTTAAGAGGGGGTTAGATGTTGTAACCAGCCCTGAGCCTGCTGTGCAGGGGAGGGCAGGCTAAAAGTCCAACTAAATAAATAAGATAGATTCATGGAACATAAGTCTATCCATGTCTACTCGCCATGGTGACCTCCACATTCACATCTTCTGAATCCGGTCCTGGGTCCTGCTTCAGGGTAGCTGGAGTGCCGACCTCCACTGACAGTTCCTCGGCTTCAGGGGACTGACTGTCATTGGCTGGTTGCGAGCTGCGGACTGCTTCTGCTGCTCCTTTGTCACCTTCTGCCTCGTCAGAAATGCTAATCCGGGCTGATCCACAACACCTACTTTACTGTGTTGCTGAAATTTGGGTTTGAAGGTGGAATCCTGCATGCCATCCATTCTTCTGCTGAGTATCCCCCCGCCAGCCAGCTGATCGGTGACTGGGGGGCAAGGCCTGGTGGTGGTAGGGTTGCCAAGTCCAAATTCGGAAATATCTGAGGACTTTGGAGGTGGAGCCAGGAGACTTTTGTGATGTCACTTCCTGTGGTGTCACTTCCAGGTCAAATGGCAAGTGATGTCACCTCCCCTTCCGATGATGTCACTTCAGTACACTGCACCAAAACCCCACCTCTTCCTGTGATGTCACTTTCCAGGCTCTCCCCCAAACCTGCCTTTCCCTCTGAAGTAACCTTCTTTTAAAAATTAAAATCTAAATTCAATGTCATGTATCAATTCCCACCCCCACCTTTCTCCTATTTTACAGTACCTCTAGGCTTTTAGGCCTCCTTCCAGTGCAAAAATAACACAAAGCTTTAAGAAACATAAAATTCTTTAATTTAAACATTTAGCAATCAGAAGGAAAAAACAAGCAATGTCAAAAGTGAAGCCCTTTTCACTAATTTCAGTAGGAAAGATAAGCACACACTGAAATGTTACACTGAAATCAATAGGATTCAATGTGCTTAATTCTGACTGAATGAGACTACGTGCATTATAATGAAAACAAAAAGTGTATGTGCTAGGCCCTAGAAAAAGATCACCAAATGACATTCCTTCACACTATGCAAAATACACAACAGAAAGGTCTAAGAACTGAAGGCTGAACACTCTGCCAAAATCCTCTACCTAAAACCCTGGAGAACCACTGCCAGTCAGAGTACACAATGCTGACATTGATGGACTGATGGTAGAGAGACCATGCTTTGAGTGCATTGTGTGTGTGAGCTGAAGGCATTGTGTACCAAAGGAAAAAGAACATAAGAGCATAAGAGAAGCCAATGTTGGATCAGGCCAATGGTCCCTCCAGTCCAACCCTCTTGTGTCACATAGTGGCCAAAAATACCAGGGGCCATCAGGAGGTCCAGCAGCGGGGCCAGGACACTAGAAGCCCTCCCACTGTTGCCTCCCCCCCCAGCACCAAGAATACAGAGCAGCACTTGCCCCAGTCTGAGTTAAGAACATAAGAGAAGCCAGTGTTGGATCAGGCCAATGGCCCATCCAGTCCAACTGTCACACAGTGGCCAAAAATACCAGGTGACATCAGGAGGTCCAGCAGTGGGGCCAGGACACTAGAAGCCCTCCCACTACTGCCCCCCAACACCAAGAATACAGTGCATCACTTGCCCCAGACTGAGCATTCCTATCTATACCTTGTGGCTAATAGCCACTGATGGACTTCTGCTCCAAAAGAATATGGACTGAGAAAGACAGAGTGACAGAAAGAAAACAAGAGGGACAGAAACACAAAAGGGGGGGGAGAAAGAAACAGAAAAAGAGAGATAAAGAAAGACAAAAAAGACAAAGTAAGAAAAAGACAGAGAGAAAGAAAGAGAAAGGAAGGAAGCGAGAGGTAGAAAACAGATGGGGAGAGAGGAGTAAAAGAAAGAAAAATGAAAGGAAGGAAAGAAGACAGACAGACAGACAATAGGAAGGAAAGACAGACAGGCAGCCAGAAGCTTCCCTTCCTTCCCTCTCCCTCTTTTTTTGGGGGGGGCGAAAGGGGAGGAGCGGCTGGAAAAGTTTAAGAAGGGAAGCAGCATGTTTTTAAAATGCCTTTCTTTCTTTCCCTGATCTCGGGGAAGGAAAGAAAGGGATTTAAACATGCCCCCCCCCACCGCCGCTTCCCTGGGCGCCTCATCTGCAATAGCAGAGAGGCTCAGGGAAGCAATGGGGCATGCAGGAATGGCTGGGTGCACGCAGCACAACTGAGTAGAAAGGCAAGGGCCGGGCCCGCCCCCAGCAGCCCAAAACCTTATGGTCCCCGAACCCCGATACTTACCGTCACACTGGGCTAGGGGGAGGCTTCAGGAACCGCTGCAGCGAGGCCAGGCAGTGAGGTGCCTCAGAGAGAGACCGCTGGCTACGCCACGAGGAAAGCACCAGATGTCCTTGCCCACCACGAGACCTCGCACTGGCACACACTAGAGGGATCTGGAAACTGACGCTCTAGCCCTTGTCTCTATGGTTTTCAGAGCCATAGAGACTAGGAGGACTTAAATCCTAGAGCGTCACTTTCCGGCCACCCTTTTTCTTCCCCGGGGCCCAATTTTTAGAAAGCAGGGAAGGGATATTGAAAGCATGAGTTCCCCCGACCCCAGTGGGGGCTTGGCAAGCCTAGGTGGTGGGGAATACCCACATCCACTGGGCAATCTGCCAACCCTAGCCAGAAGGACAACAAGCATTTTCACTTCACTTTAATAGCTTGTCAGATTCAAAATCCTGATAGTCTGATGTCTTAAGTCTCATTCTCTCTGCATCCTGCCAGATATATAGTACTATTGAGTTCTTGAAACTGCTTCTTGCCTGTCCTTATGCCAGTTCCCAGCTATCAGAGCCTGTTTGTTGGGTTACTTACAATAGTAAAAACATTGGAGTGTACCAAATTCTAAAGGGGTTCCCTTCCATTGTGTGTTAATCATTCCCTACTGATAACCTGTGGCATTAGTGACAGGTTCCTGTTTGCCTTGGAAATGATGGTGCTGAGACACAAGGTTGCTAAGAGTTGTCAGATGACACTTGCTCACATGATACCATTAAGAGGGTGTTGCAGCCAGTTCTAAAACAACTTTGCAACTGAGGAGTCAGTGGGAAAGCAACCTCACTTTATCCAAGGCCATCTGGTTAAGTCTTGTGATCAAATAATTGCTAGCTTCAGAAGCAAACCAGGAAGCAAGGTAGTCATAGCTTTTAATAGCTCCTGCACTGAGCAGCTTTAACATTTAGAGCTGGCTGGATTTTTATGCTGTGATTTTTTAAAAGCATACTTTCTCTGGAACATTTTATGATTTGTAGTACATGTGGTAGTATCTTAGATAATTTCAGAAATCTTGGTTTTTACCATGCAGCAAGGCCTGCTTCATTTATGAAAGAAGAAACTGGTTGAATGCTATCAAGTTTTTGATTAGCATTTCTTATTGTCAGGAGGGAGTTTATTGCTAGAAAATCCTAAGCCATAATGGAGAAAACTGTATGTGGATATCTCATAAAAGCATCCTGGATATTTTGAAGAAATTATGAATGTATCTGACTGAGAGCACATCAAAACTCAACATGTGTGGAGGTACGCCGAAGACTTCAAACAGCTCAGGAAGCCAGGCAGAGAACGCAAGGAAAATTCCTGGTTCCCCTAGTGTGCTAATCAATAGTTTTTCAAAGCCAAGGTTGAAAAAGGCTAAGAAACTACGTGGGGTGGAAAACAGCACCAAATGTGTTAACCGAGTTCCTGAAGAACTATCAAACAGGTATGAAAGTTTCATTTCCAAAAAGTTTCATTCAAAATATGCTTTGGGTGCGTTGGGAAACCTGGTGTTCTACCTCACATAATGCTAGAAATACAAAAAGAGCCATCAGTCTTGGTAGGCTCTTCTTTTCCAAACAGGTGATATTTCAGGATCATTACGCTTAACTTCTGAATGTATAGTTTCTTGGGTGTTACTAAATTATTGGTGGGTGCAGGCTAAGAGGATGATGAAATGTGGATTCAGATGCAGGCATAAGCTTCCATCTGATGCTGTCCTTACCCCTAAGTGCTGCCCTTCGCCTCTTGGTCTTGAGTTTGTCAAATCAACCAGCAGTAATATCAGTACTATAGGGAATATTGTTGGTGTTGCCTTGCTACAGCTGCATAAGCTCCCTTTTTCTTCTTAATGCAAAAAGTGTTCTGCAGTTTTCATATGTAGAGTTGTGTGTTTGATCATTCTGATTTTCAAAGTAGCTGCTTGGGAAACCAATTTAAAACATCTTATTTTTCTCTTTTTTCTTTTTAAAGATGTTTAGATGAATTTTTTTTGCTTGAAAATTATGACAAGTCATCTTCCATATTTGTTTCAGTGTGTTACCTGTAATGTTAACTAATTTGATTTTTAAAAAATGAAAAAAAATCTTATTTCCATTTAACATAGCTGTTAATGAAGAAAGGAGTTAGATTTACTGATTATCCAGAAGTAAGATAACCCTGAACATAAGACAGCCCTCTCCAAAAAACAAAAAAGGCTTACACTCAGAGTTTCTACTGTATTCCCCTGTAACTTGTATGTAAAGTTAACTGTTTGGTTTTTGATGGCATGGGGGGGGGGGTAGATTTTCACTTAATGTATTTTTAAAGATCATTTATTTCTGCATTGTTTTAAACTGACACACTGTCTATATGTGTTAGATACAAAAGAATGCTGTGCTATGCAAGAGGAAATAAATAAATAAATCTGTAGAACTAAAGTAGAAAGATAATGGCTTTCCTCAAAGCTGCGACTAATAATAATAAATACTGTACTGTAAAATGGATTGCAACAATACAGCATGCAGTTGGTATTGACTAGTAGGGAAAATGCGAATAATAAATACTGTACTGAAATATTTTATATTGGCTATGGTTAGATACTAGACTCACTTGACCAGTTCTTTTGTGGATTCAGGAGGGTATGTAAGAAATCAAGTGAGGTTTTTTTACAAAACAGTTTTCATTTATTTAGGTGAGATTTTATAAAATCTGTTTTAATAAATCATGTTGAATATGAATCTGCCTGACACGGAAACCACTGTGACTGGAGTTTTTCATTTAGGTAAATGGAAATAGGGCATTGCTGAACATTGAGGGAAACTCCCTCAATGATGACATGATTGACATTTGTCAGGGCAGGTTTTATACCTTTGTGAGAAACAAAACTGCTTCTTTCTCTTTTCTTACATAAGAACATAAAGTTGGTGGTAAATGATTTTAGCTGTATAGAATAGATTGGTTTGGTGGTAGATGTCAAATGTGTTAAGGCAACATTTCTTCCAAGTGATATGAAACTGCAAGCTTGTCTGTCTCCATGAAGCACAGTTTTTATACCAACATTCCATGCACGGTTCTGTTTCCCTTCCTCTTTCATACCAAACTAGTCCAAGAAAGCAGGATGTTTACCATGCTGGTGTGGAGAAAAAAGGAAGACAAAGATTCTGCAGCTAGTGCCTTGAAATAATTGTATGCTTTCTGAGATGGACATTTTATAACTGAAGATCAGACTAGTCATTCTTTGGATACTGCAGATCTTGATAAGGAAAGGCAAATTAGAATGGTGCCATTGATGCAATAGTGCAAATAATGTTTGGAAGTACAAGCATCACAATGTACAAATGATTGCAAAAGATTCTGGTTTACATCCTTGCTAGGCCATGAAATGCAATGAATGAGGCTCAAAAGGGGCCTTGCTGTCCTTTAAGGATGTGCAGCATGGTTGAAATGGGATTCATCATGGTAGTTTCTTCAGGGAAGGTTAGCTTATGTCAACTACTTCTCCCTCTGTGGACACAAAAAAGTGGCCAGTGAACTGAAGTAGGATCTAGGAGACCAAGATTCAAACCTCTGCTTTGCTAGGAAACTTGTTGGGTAATTATGGACCGGTCACTATCAGCCTAACCTACCTCACAGGGTTGTTGTGAGGATAAAATGGACAATCTATTAGCCATGTATTCTTCCTTAGAGGAAGGGCAGGATAAAAATATACCAAATACCGGTAAGTGATAAACATACATGGCTGCTTTGTGGAACTCTCATGAAATACCAGATCACTTTATAATGAGACTTAATGTTCATTTTTCAAAGGTTTAAACTGTTGTATGAGATCCAAGTATATTCAGTTACCCAGCTGAAAAATATGGGAGAATAGGCAAATGTGCACGTAATTGACAAAATCATTCTGCAGTGTGCTTCTAGTCAGTTATTTGGAGAGCACAGACTTTTTTTCAGAATACAGAGCATGGTTTAGTGTAGGAAAGAAGTACAGTCCTATTGGTATAGCTCTGCACTGTAAATTTCTTTCAAACACGTAGGTGTTTGAAATTTGTTGTAATATCTGTTAGATCTGCTACTGGGCAAAACTGTTGCTGTCCAATAATGTCCAGATTTGTATTTTGAAATGAGAAAGAGATAAATCTTTTATTGGCCCTCTGTCCCATTTTCAAAGGAATGGATACTTAGCTTCCTTTTTCTCTCATCTCATATTATATTAGATAAATCAAGAAGTTCAACTACTATATGATTTCTGGGCTTTCTCAGGAGTGAAGAACTGTATCTGTTGCTGCATATTCTATATTCCCCCAGGTGTCAAAAGATATGGAGGAAATTCTTTTCTTTCAGGTGAACAGAATAAACTGAGGACTGAAAAATGTAACCACACTTTTTCTTCAACATGGCAATAGGCTTCAGTTTTAATGAGAGAAATTCTGTGCATGGAAAAAACCCTCCTATACCCGTAAAGCATTTTTGTCAGAGGATAGCAGCCAAAAGCTTATTTACTCCTCAGGTTAAACTGCAGATATCTGGTTGTATGCCTATAAATGTTTCTTGGAAGTATTTGTTCGAGATATCATTGTTGGACCATTGGAAATGTACCACTTTGGGTTACAGTGTCATATGACAGCACTGCAAAGGAGTCACAGTGGAGCACGTGTTCTAAAGTCAATATAGACTTCAATGGGTACAGAGAGGTACTGTCATGTGACTCGAGGGTAATGGTCTGCAAGTGCATGCTTCATGTTGTTTGCAGAGTGATTGCCTGATGGACTGGGAAAGAATTCTTTTCTTGTTCAGGTGAAATTTAACAATTGGCTGTTTGGCAAACAGATTAAGGTGCTAACTCCAGGGTACACTTCAAGACAACATTTGAACTTCTACCCAAATTTTTAAAAAACTTAGTTCCTTTCTAAAAATGCTTAATGTAATAATTGCCCTTCTTGGCTGTCAAGGTGGTACACTGTTAAAAAAACTTTGGAAGACTGAACAGTATTTCATTTATTTGTTGTTTCTTCAAGATAAGTGGATTATATTGGTACAGTTTACAGGAAGGGTGGCTGCAGACCCACAGAGCTTCCAGTAATGTGAGGGCCACTCTGGTCAAGGTTTTGTAACTGCACAGACAAGCCTTTGGGACCCAGGGCTAATTGTGGCTTCACACAGTGTATGTGGGAGTGTACTCACATTACAAGGAACAGTACGAGGACACATGTACTTTATGTGTATGTGATGTTCTCCTCCTTGAGCAAGTGGCTGCTACTGTAGGAATGCACAATATGCAGAACTTAACAGGCTTAGCTCCGTCACTAACTTCTTAGCATTTTGTTAAATATATATGTATTTTTAAAAAATGCTTGAATGACTAAGATTTCTGTTCAGCGCATTGCTTCTTGTAATCAATGAAGTCACTTTTACTGATGACTCTCTTGTTCGTATTGAGTAAATTTGCTTTTAGGACCAGTACCAAGACCAGACAGTGTCCAGGAGAATAACCTGGGAGAGAGAAAAACTGACTCCAAAGTGACCAGTCACTTCTGTATACAGTCTCGCATGGTTTTGTTGTATTAGACCATTTCTGTAAGCCTCATTGATCGATTTACTGCTGTTGGCACAGATAAGGTTGCAAAAGTCCATCATTGTATTTTCAATTCACAGCTGGACCTGTTCAGGGTTTGACCTGAATGAAATCCGCTTGATAGTATATCAAGACTGTGAGAGGAGGGGCAGACAGGTCTTATTTGACTCCACAGCAGTCCGCAAGATTGATGAGGCGACTCTTCAGGTATGAAATGTTCACATTTGTAAACTAAATTTCTCTTTGACTGCAGCATCACCACTCCTGAAATATCTTTGTTTATGTTGGTGGAACAGAACATTCTTGCCAGTTAAGAAAAAAAATCAATTGGTGGTCTGCCATTCTTTATGCACCTGATAGATGCCCTCTTTCCCCACCTCTCCCCCAAATTTTCCAGCTTCTCATAGTCCTTAAAGGAGAAACACAAGACAAGCCTGTGTCCAAAGACATTAGATAGCTGGATCCTGCAACAGAAAAGTAATGTTGCATCAGCTTCAGTAGTTGGGTTGTTATGTGTGATTTCATACTGGCCACGTTTTGGTTTCTGTTTTGCTTCCCACATTACTGAGGGCTTTCCTCTGAACTGATTTCATGCTATTTAAAAGGAGCAAGAAAATGTACAAGTAGAGCCAATTTCCCACCAGGCTTTATGTAGCACCCTTGGCTAAGTCCTTGTACGTATAAGTGTGATCAGTCATACGGTCCAGCTAATGCATTGTGTTCTAGCTCTTCCTATTGGTGGCCCCGGAGCGAAGAGTTCATACAGGCTTCCTCACACACGCTTTCCTCTCCTTGTCAGTAGCATGTGTCAAGCACATGACTGCTAACATTTGTTGCTCTTTTCCTAATGACAGTCACATTGGGGATTAAATAAGCAGTCCCTACATTAATGTAGTACAAAGCAAAATCTCCACAAAAGGAATATTAAAAGGTTGTGAACTGTGAAAAGTCCAGTCGGTTTCATAGGGCTAGAGAGAGACTCCAGCTGTGCTTGTGCCTTATGTCCCCAAATACAAAGGCCTTTAATTCTGAAAGAAGAAATGAGCACTCTGCATTGGCTTTTAATTCTTTTCTCCTTTCCTTCTAAGCCCTTGTTAGTTCTCTGAGTACCCAGTATTACTCTTTTCTCACTCATCAAGGTGTATTTATTCTAATGGTGGTGCTGAGCCTGTGTGGTGTTTGGGCTATTAACTTAGGAGGCCCAGGTTCAAGTCCCCATTCTGCCACCTAACCTGCCTCACAGGGCTGCAGCGAACATAAAATGGAGAAGGTGCGAGCTACGGATGCTGCCCTGAGCTCCTTGGAAGAAATGCAGGATAAACCAGGCAGATTTTTGTGACACGTACTGCCTTATGCATTCTGCCCAAACACTGGGTGACGCATTAGGCCAATTTTAAATATACCTCCAAATAAACTCCTCTCCTGTCTATGATTATATTTCTGATTCTACGTTTTTTGGCTGCTCGCAGTTTGCTTTGGCACCCTTGCAAGCTCCTAATGGAGTTTCTGAAACAGATTTGCCTCATTTAGTGGACTGATTTTCAGAACCGAGTTTTGTTTTCAGGCTTACCTTAAATAAAAGACCCGCGACAGCAGACTTGCTTAGACGGCACGTTTGACTCAGAGTGGCATTTTTATTGCTCTGGTGCACTTTTAAAAGAAGAAACATTTGAACTCACATTTTTCATCTGCCAAGTCTTACTTAGCTTTGATGCAGACTGCCTGTGCTAGTTGAAAAGGGGGTGGGGCCATGCAGCTCCTTCCAAGGCCTAATTTATCCATTTGCTTCATGAAACTGAAAAGACTTGCTCTTTTTTGTCTCCTACATAGCTCTGCTAGTTGATGCAGAGAAGTTGGGGCGCATGCATTGAAGAGGTAGGCAAACACCAGACACACACAATGATTTAAAGGAAGCAATTTGTATACAGCACATAAGTCAAGATTTGTTTGAAGGCATATTGGGTAGAGATCTGTGTTACCATTCATTTTTTTTTTCTCCCATAGGATGCCTCTGGAAAGGCTTTTGGCAAGTGTGGTCAGACAAGCAATGGGACCAACTCTATTTCTCCCTGCAGCCCTACTGTGGACAGCAGACAGCATGCAAAGGGGGACCTTCCAAAATACCAGGTAATTTGTACATGTCAGCCAGCACCTGAGATGGCATGAGGAAGGCATGGGATCAAAAACCAACAAATGCATAAAGAATCTGCATCAGTCTCAATAACCTACAGGAAATACTGTTGTAGGTTACACTGCACTGGAAAGTGAGTTGGTAAACCATCACTTAAGACACTGCCTGAGTATTCAGTGCTCAGTACGTTCTCATCATACCCTTCTGGATGTTCAGGCTCCCAGAAACACCTTATTACAAGTCTCTTATTTAAAAAAAGGAACAGAACCACCCCAGTGTATTCTGTGTTTTATCCTGATAGCATGAGCAATTTTGAAAAAATGCGCAGCACAGATGTTTTTTAATTAAAAAGTAGAAGGAATGTATAATAATCAAGAACACTGAAATTTACATATCCGTGCATGAAACACAAACATTTTGAAAATGGTACAAGGCATTGAAAGTACTCCGTGTAGGAATGGCATTCTCACAACGTGCAAATCTCATGGTACGAGCGAGATCATGTTTTGCCATGTGGTCTAGTCGGGCAGAAAAGTGAGAACACCTGTCCACAGGCTCTCTTTCCTGGCAGTCTGGTTGTTGGGAAGGGTGATATTTGAGGCTGGGGGCAAGGTGGCAATGGCCGAATGGAACTGACCAAACTTTTAAAAGTCTAGCCCATCCAAGTCTGTTCCGCCATGAGGGCAGAGGCTGAAAGAGGATGGGGCTTGCCTGAGGCCGCCAGCTAGTGAATTCATGGCAGAAGTGGGATTTAAACCAGGGTCTTCCTGAGTGCTTTGATGGGTGTCCAGGCTTGGATCCAGGGATGCAGAAGCGGAAACATCAGTGAGCTTAGCACAGTTCCGTTCATGCCTGGTGCTTTCTTCCCTATGTATGGGAATGCCAAGGAGGTGGTTGCATAAGATCTTACACAAGCAGAAACACAGTTGGGGGGATACAGTAAATTTAAGACAGTGGAAGTGGCGGCTGTGGTCTTTTCTCTTGTGCTTCTGATTGCGCAAGAGCTCTAGTGCAAACTGATCCATCCATCTGAGAAACTGAACACGAGTCTCCATACTCCCAAGTTCAGTTGATTTGCAAGCTGAACCTGGCACATCTTTTGGAATACAACTTTTTTACACTAAGTATTTCTTTCTTTCTGTACTTGCAGTATACTAGGCCAGCTTCTGATGTCAACATGTTGGGAGAGATGATGTTTGGTTCGGTGGCAATGAGTTACAAAGGCTCCACACTGAAAATCCACTATATACGGTGAGCTCACATCTCCCGTTCCTTATTGTATCAAGGTTTTGAATTTCTGCTGGCTCTACTGAACCACCAGTGTAATTGTTTATCTTTACAGTTCTCCTCCACAGCTTATGATGAGTAAAGTATTCTCTGCCAGAGTGGGCAGTTTTTGTGGAAGTACAAATAGGTAAGACCTTGTTTCCTTTCCTGTTTCAGTGTGTTTATGAAGAGGGGGGAGGTGTTTCTACTTACTGTATTCAGACATCAGGCGTAAACTTCAGGCTTCAGCTCATATGCCCCTCCCGCCCTTCTCCCCTCACATACAGAGCTGAGGCTGAAGATGTTCTGCTGGGTAACCTGCTTTATTGTACCTCTGAGCTTTAACATATTATGGTTTTTCTTGCCTACAAACCAGGGTTTCTAAACTAGGACTGAGCATTCAAAACAATAAACCAAGCTCATTCTCAGGAGAGAATAAGAAATACCCCAGTTCAAATCCCAAATAAGAGAGACGAAAAACAAAAACTAACAAAACCCGCTGCCATAGTATAAGAACCAAATGATGAACTACTGGGAGTAATTTCATCTGGTTTAGGCATCGGGGTCAATCAACACTGCCTGTCCATTAGGAGTCACAAGCTTGGCCATCTGTAAAGACACAAGATCTGTCAAGGGTGGGGGGAGCAGATCAAATACTGTTTTCTTCTTGTCTGTTGTCCTGTTGCACATTGTGTTACTCCTTTATTCTTGTGCTGTGGCAGGGTGTCAGTGTCCTACTGGCATTGCTCTGTGGAGTTCTGTGCATTGCCCCAACAGCAAGAAATACTAGCAAAGGCTTTGTGACCCATTGCCCTGAAACATGCTAAAACGGTGGGCTGGTGCATCCGAGCAGCAAAAAACCATTTCTAATACTTCCACCATGTCCTTTCTCACTTCTCGTCTCATGTTGTATAACACTTACGCATAATACTCTAATATCTAATAATAATCTTTCTTGTAAATATACTCATGCAATGTGATATCAAAAGGCTGTAACAGTGTACAGTTTTCCTTAACTTGGAAAGTAAACTAAGGAGTAAAAAAAAATGCAGGTTTTGACAATGCCGCATTAATGAACTGAATTCATGAAGAATGGAAAAAACATTATTACCTCCATATAGGAGATCTTCAGATAGACATGACTTTGGGGGGGGGGAGAAAAAATAAAAACCATTTATCAACATTGGCTGCTTTTCCTTTGTCACATGGTGGTCACACCTCTGTTATGTGTGCACATGTGCCATTCCGGTGGACTTCATCAGTAAACAAAGGAGATTTGGAGGTTTGACTTAGGGCAGAAATGAACGTGTAAACTCTCAAAGTGTGAAATATATTAGCAACGAAGAACAGCAGCAGAGTAAGAGAATCCTGTGCATGTTGTTATCAATACACATAAAAATTCAGTAAATTCTAATATGCACGGAGCTGTTTCAGATCCTAAAACCAAAGTTTTCTTCTGTCATCTATAAATGCAAAAAGGCTTTCCAATCCTGGCTGGCCATCTACAGACAAACTCTGGTGGTAACAGATGTGAATTGCCTCCTGA